TTTTTCCTCCTTTTTCTCCCTTTTTTTTCTCATTTTTCTCCCTTTTTTCCTCCTTTTTCTCCCTTTTCTCCTCTCCTTTTTTTCACTCATTTCCCTCTTTTTCCTCTCCTTTTTTATCTTCTTTTTTTCTTATATCTCCTCTCCTTTCCTGTTTTTTCTCCCTTTTCTCCTCTCCTTTTTTTCACTCATTTCCCTCTTTTTCCTCTCCTTTTTTATCTTCTTTTTTTCTTATATCTCCTCTCCTTTCCTGTTTTTTCTCCCTTTTCTCCTTCTTTCCTCCCTTTTCTCCAATTTTCCTCCCTTTTCTCCCCCTTTTTCCTTTTTTCTCCCTTTACACCTTTTTCTCCCCCTTTTCCTGCCTATTTTTCCCTCATTTTCTTTTTTCTTCCTTTCCTCCTTTTTTTCTCCCCTTTCTCCTCCCCTTTCTACTTTTTTATTCTCCTTTTTTTCTCCTCTTTCTTCCCCTTTTTTTCTTCCTGTCCTCCTCATTTACCCCTTTTTTCACCCCTTCCTTTTCCTCCCTTTCCTGCTTTCCCCCCCCTTTTTCTCCTATTCCCCCTCCCTCTTCTCCTCTTTCCTCCCCTCCATTTCCAAATTTTAAATAGAAATATATATAATTAAATTTACAAATGCTATTTACAGGTTTAATTACAAAAAAAAAAAAAAAAAATCAAAGAGAAAGAGAGACACCCCTTAGACGTTAATAAATCTAAAAATAAAAAATATATAATAATCCCCCCCTCCAAAAAAACCCCAAATTTCAGGCCGAATGGCGGCGGGGCCGGGGGGGTCACACCGTGGTCTCGCCCTGCTTGCTGTTGGTGAGCCGGGTGTAGAACTTCCTCCAGGAGTGCAGGGTTTTTCCTGACCATATCCAGAACCCGGAGGTGATGCCCACGATCAGAGTCATGAGATACTTGATCATGTAGACGGTGAAGTCGGGGGTCATGCGGGGGGTGAAGTGCAGCGGGCAGGGGATGGCCAAGCTCTTGCAGTTCTGGCTGATCCAGCTGCGCTCCCAGTGCTCCCGGAACGCCTGCTCGTAGAAGTAGCAGGCGATGACGATGGTGGCCGGGACGGTGTAGAGGACGCTGAAGACCCCGATGCGAACCATGAGCCGCTCCAGCTTCTCCGTCTTGGTCCCGCCGTGTTTCATGATGGTGCGGATGCGGAAGAGGGACACGAAGCCGGCCAGGAGGAAGGAGGTGCCGATGAAGAGGTAGACGAAGAGCGGGGCCAGCACGAAGCCCCGCAGAGGGTCGATGTTGTTGAGGCCCACGAAGCAGACGCCGCTCAGCAGGTCCCCGTCGATCTGCCCCATGGCCAGGATGGTGATGGTCTTGACGGCCGGCACGGCCCAGGCGGCCAAGTGGAAGTACTGGGAGTTGGCCTCGATGGCCTCGTGGCCCCACTTCATGCCGGCGGCCAGGAACCAGGTCAGGGAGAGGATGACCCACCAGATCGAGCTGGCCATGCTGAAGAAGTAGAGCATCATGAAGAGGATGGTGCAGCCCTCCTTCTTGGTGCCCTGCACCACCGTGCGGTACCCGTCCTCCTGGAAGCGCTCGTTGCAGACCACCCTCTCCTCCAGCACGAAGCCAGCGATGTAGGCCACCGACACCATGGTGTAGCACCCCGAGAGGAAGATGATGGGCCGCTCGGGGTAGCGGAAGCGCTGCATGTCCACCAGGTAGGTGGTGACGGTGAAGAAGGTGGAGGCACAGCACAGGACGGACCAGATGAGGATCCAGATGCGGGCAAAGCGGATCTCGTCCTCGTTGAAGAACATGTGGCCGTCGGGCCGGGCGGGCTCGCAGGGCGCCGCGCAGTCCTTCTCCCCCAGGAACTTGTAGTTGAGGTAGCTGGGCACCTTCAGCGCCCGCGGGCAGTGGAAGGGGTGGTCGAGGGTGGCGTAGCGGGGGGCGCCGGGGGTGCCCTGGCCGGCCAGCGGCGTGGCACTGGTGAGCAGCGCCGGCGAGCCGCCGTCCTCCGAGTGGTTCTGCCCCACGCAGATCTGCTCGGCGCCGTGCCGGGGGAAGTTCTCGCAGCGCAGCCGCTCCGGCCACTGGAAGCCGAACTTGTTCATGAGGGCCTCGCAGCCCTGGCGCGCCCGCTCGCAGATGGAGCGGCACGGCGGGATGGCCTGCTCCAGCACCGTGCACACCGGGGCATACATGGAGCACAGGAAGAACTTCAGCTCCAGGGAGCACTGCACCTTCACCAGAGGGTAGAACTGGTGGACCTCCAGCCCCGCGTCCTCCTGGTTGGTGTGGCCCAGCAGGTTGGGCATGATGGTCTGGTTGTAGGCGATGTCGGTGCAGAGCGGGATGGAGATGGGCTGGCAGAAGCCGTGGTCGGGGATGGAGATCCCCTTCTCGCCGTGCAGCTGGGCCCAGCCCGGCGCCGGCACGCTCAGCCCCGCCAGCAGCCAGGCCAGGGCGGGCAGCACGCCGGGGGGGGCCATGGTGGTGCCCCGAGTCCCTGCGCCCCGAATTACTGTGCCCGGTGCCCAGCCGGACGGACCGTCCTCCCGTCCGGGTGTGCCGTGCCCGGGGCTGCCTGGATGGCTCCCGGTGATCAGCTCTGCCGTGCCTGGTGTGCCTGGACGGCTCCCGGTGACCCCGATGCTTCCTGGATGGCTCCCGGTGATCAGATCTGCCGTGCCCGGTGCCGCCTGGATGACTCCCGGTGTCCGAATCCGCCGCGTCCAGACGGCTCCCGGTGCTCAGCTCTGCCGTGCCCGCCGCTGGCTGGACGGCTCCCGGTGACTGGACACTCTCAGCTCCCGCCGGGATGACTCCCGGTGACGGGACCCGCCGTGCCCGGTGCTGCCCGGACGGCTCCCGGTTCCCGCTGCCCGCCTGCCCCGGGTTCCCGGCGGGACGGCTCGCGGTGTTCCGATCTACCGCTGCGTCTGCTCGGACTTGGCGCTCCCGGTGCTCGTCCCAGACACTCCCGCTGTTCGTCCCAGTCGCTCTCGGTGCTCCGCGGCGCTGCTCCCGCTGCCCGGACTTGGCGCTCCCGGAGCCGCGGGCGAGCGGCGGGTCGGGGAGAAAGGATGGCGGGGGGTTGCCGGGCAGTCCCAGGGGGTTGCCGGGCGGTCCCGGGGGGGTCCCGGGGGGTGCCCGGGGCGCGGGGAGCGGAGCGGCCGCACCGGACGCTCCCGCCGCCTTTGTGAGGGGCAGCGCCGCGTCCCCGCGGGGCGGGGCCAACCCCCCGAGCCCCGCCCCCTCCCGGCCCCGCCCCGCTACCTAAGCCAGTCACATTCAAACCTGGCGGTGGCCACGCCCCCCGCCGCCCCTGGCCACGCCCCCGGCCCGTCCCGGGGGTCACCGGGGCCCCCCCGGCCCGAAAAGTTTTTCCGAGTCGGGAAAAGTTCCCCCCCCGCGCCGGGTGGGGTCGGGCCGGGGCCGCGATGAGAGGGTGCTCCCGTGTCCCCTGACGCCGCCCGTGTGCCCTGTGCCTCTCGTGTCCCCTGCCCTCCGCCTTCCGTGACACCCCCCCGTGTCTTCTGACACCCTTCCCCCCGCGGCCCCTGTGTCCCCCCACCCGTGTCCCTTTCGTATTCCCTGCCCCCCGAGTCTTCAGCACCCCACCGTGTCTTCTGCACTCCCCCTTGTCCCCTGTGCCTCTCCTGTCCCCTGCCGCCCTGTCCCCAGCCCCAGTGTGGCCTCTGCCCCTCCGTGTCCCTTACACCCCCCCTGCGTGTCCCCTGACACTCCCCGTGTCCCCTGTGCCCCCTCCAGTGCCCTGCATGTTCCCTGTTCCCCACTGTGTCCTCTGTCCCCCCCCCCGTGTCCCCTGTGCCTCTCCTGTCTCCCCTTCTCCCTGCCGTGTCCCTGGACGTGCCCCATGTCCTCTGCAACCCCCCACTGTCCCCTGCGTCCCCCCTGTGTACCCCGCCACCCCCCCCCGGGGTTCTCTGCACCCCTCTGTGTCCCCTGTGCCCCCCTGGTGTCCTCTGCACTTCCCATGTCCCCTGACTCCCCGCTCCATGTCTCCCCCCACCCATGCGGCTGCTCCCCCCCAGCCCAAGACCCACATCCCCCTGATGTGTTCTGGGGGGTCCCCCACTGTCCCCTGGTCCCACTTTAGGGTGCAGTGGGGCAGGATTAGCCCCCTTGTCCCCCTGAAGCCCCCCCCAAAAGCAGGGGTACCTTGGCCCCAACACTCCCTGTCCCCTGGTGTCACCCAGGTGGTGCCACCACCCCGTGGGGTGCCCACGGCCACTCTGGGGTGCTGCACCCCCACAGGGCCACTGCACAGTCAGGGGTGTCCCCAAATCAGCCATGGGGACGGGGGACATCCCCCAGCCTGCCCCCCACCACCGGCCCCACAGCTCCCACCCCAACCAGGGCCATGCTGAAGGGAACCTCTGTCCCCAAAAACAGGGCAGGGGGAGAGAGCCATGGGGCTGAGATGCACTGGGAGGGGCTGGGACACACCTGGGGGCACTGGGACACACTGGGTGGAACTGGGACACACTTGGGGGCCCTGGGACATGCCAGAGGGGGACAGGAATACACCACGGGGAACCAGGACACACTGGGAGGATCCAGGACAGGCTGGGGGGATCTGGGACACACTGGGGGATCCAAGACATGCTGGGGTGATCCAAGACTCACTGAGAGGGACCAGGACACATCAGGGGGTCAAGCACACACTGGGGGGCACTGGGACACACTGAGGGGACTGAGACACATTGGGAGAGACTGGAACACAACGGAGACCCTCATCGGGGAAAGAAACTGCGGGCAATCACCCCAAATTTCGGCAGCAGGATGGGGGGCTGCCCTTCCCAAGGCAGGGGCAGTCGGGGGGGTTGTGGTGGACAGCCCCCCGCCCCCGTCCCGCTCCGTTCTGGGGGGGCTTCTGGCTGCCCCCTTCCCTCCCTCCCTCCGCGTCCTCCCTCCCTTTCTCTCCCTTTCCTGTAACTTAAGCTTTTGTTGTGAGCAGGAGACCCGGGCTGCCGTGAAAAGAGGGGGCCCCACCGCCTTTCAGAGCGTAATTGAAACCATTGCGGCTCCTGGCCGAGGGGGAAGGGCAGGGGGGGCTCCAAAATCAAAGCCTGGGGGGGCGCAGGGGGGGAGGACGGAACACACGATGCTCCCGGCCCCCCTCCCCGTCGGGACGTGCCGGGTGTCACCGCGGCGGGGGCGGGACACGGGGGGCTCCCTGCGCCCGGGGAGGGGTCGGGGCTGGCGGAGGGTCCGCGTGGCCCCGGCGAGGCCGGGATGGGGTGGGGTGGGTGGGTTTGGGGTGGGAGCCAGGGCCGGGGGTGACTCCGGGGTGCTGCCTTTGGGGTTCCCGGGAGGGTGCTGGGTGAGTGCCCGGGGGTCCCGGGCGGGGGGGGGGCTGCAGGGAAGGGCCTGGCACGGTGCCGGCGGCGGGGGCTGAGCCCGGAGCCCGGCCAGCACTGCCTCCTGGCCCCATCCCGCTCCCAATCCTGCTCCCAGTCCCTCTCCCAATCCCGCTCTTTTGCTGCTTCCCCGGCTGCTCCAGCCACAGCTCCCCTCGGCCCCGTGGGTGCAGAGTCCAGCTTGGGTGACCCCACCGTGTCCCCAGGCCCGCCAGGGATGGGGACAGAGGGGAGCAGGGGTGTCTGAGCAGCCACGTTGATTTCGCTTCTTAAAGCTCCAGATTTTGGCTTCTTTTCACAGGGAAAGGGCCCTTCTCATGTCCCCTCCCACCCCCCGTGTCCCCTGCCCCCACCACGTCCCCAGTGCCTCTTGTGTCCCTTCCCCAGGGGGGTGGTAGGGGCTGTCCCCATGCTCCCTGTCCCAGTGGGTGCTGGTGGCTCAGGAGAGGGGGCCCCAGAACCCACGAATGGTCCCACCCAGAGCGGGTGCTGAGCTCTCCTGAGGAGGGGGAAACCCGGAGCAGACCCTCCAGCCAGCCCTGGAAGGACCCCCTGGGTGGGCTGAGGGTGTCAGGGGACATCCCAGGGAGGCAGCCAGAGGGCTCCTGCCTGCTCAGGGGTGTCCCCTCACAGGGACATTCAGGGTGGCTCAGGCAATCCTTTGAGTCCCACTTGTCCCTGTCACCAGGCTCCCAGACTTGTTCCTGAGCCCTGCCAGGGCTGTGTCGGGTGGCAGAGTCCTGCCTCCTCCCCAGAAGATTGCCTGGGGGTTTGGGGTTGATGTCCTGGCTGGGGGGAACCTGTGAGGACAAGGACCCACCCTGGCACCCAGAAGGAGGGGGTGGGTGCTGCCAGCAGGCCAGACTGGGCTGTACTGGGAGTATGGGGCCAAACCCAGCTCCCCCCCCAGCTCCCCATCACAAGGGCACTTAGGGGGTCCCCCCTGCACCCAGCAGGGCCAGGGATGGGGGACACAGCTGTGAACTCCCAGGTCCTGCCCTTGGACCTCCTGAAAGTGCCCTCAGCCCAGCCACAGGCTGGTGTCCCCTGTCTGAGCCTCCTCCCCAGGAACAGGCACCCGGGGGAACCCTGGGGGTGGCACCATGGCTGGCACTGGCCCCGTGCACGGCCCCACGTGTGGGCTGGTGGCCAGCACCGATCCCGAGGGCAATATTTTGGGGGGGCAGTGGCAGCACCACCTTGCACCACGTGTCCCTTGGGGTGGCGCGGAGGAGGGCGAAGCAGGGAGGAGCTGTGCCAGGTGGTGCCAGGCGGGCTGGGCACCCCGGGGGTCCCCCAGGAGCGCAGAGGAGGGGAAGGGCCCCCGGCCCTGCCCTCGGCTTTGTTTCACACTTAAGAGCCTCTAATTAAAACCAGGCACAAAGGCCCCGGCTGGCTGCGGGCTCGAGGTGCCAGCGGGGACGGTGGTCTGTCACCAAGGGAACAGGGAGGGGACACAGGGTCCCTGGCACAGGTCCCCCTGCACCCCAGGGCGTGAGCAGGCACACGTGTGCACACACATGCACACACACACGTGAACACACAGCACCCACAGAGGGGTGACGTGTGGGGACGTGGCAGCAGGGCTGGGGGGGTCGGGGGTGCTGGAGGGGTCACAGTGTTGGGGACTCTGTGTGTGTGACAGCTCTGCTGGCACCTGGAGGTGTGTGTGTGTGTCTGCACCCCTGTGCCCGGCTGAGCTGCACACACGCTGTGCTGTGGGTTAGGGAGGGCAGGAACCAGTGCTCAGGCCTGGTTTGTACTGGTCTAAACTGGTCTAATGGTCTGCAATGGCTCCACGGGGTGGGTCTGTGATCAGCACTGGTCAGGTGGGATGGGGCTGCCATCTGAGTCCTGGGGTACCCATGGGGTGGACTGTGGGGTGAGCTGTGCCCTGGGTACCCGTGGGGTGAGTTGGGGGCAGAGCTGATCCCTGGGGTACCATGGGGTACCCACTGCTACCACCAAGCTCCGGGGTAGCAGTGGGGTGAACTGAGCCCTGGGGTACCTGTGGGGTGGAGTGTGGGGTGTCCCCAGCCCCAGGGTACCAAGCCAAGCCCTCAGGTACCCCTGGGGCGGGCTGTGGGGCGAGTTGAGCCCTGGGGCACCCCCGGCGTGGGCCATGGGGTGCCTGAGCCCCGGGGCAGCCTGGCAGGGAGTGGACACAGCGTTAGCCAAGCCCTGGTACCCAGAGGGTCCCGGGGGGACTGGTGGGCAACCCTAAAAGCAACTGTGAGGAGCTGGGGGGACGAGCCCCCACCACAAACGGGTCCAACTGACCGGATCCCCCGGGGGTGGCACGTCCCCGGTGCCACGTGGTCCCCCCAGACCCGCTCCCGGTGCCGGCGGGGCACAGAGCCCACCGAGGTGGGCGCGGGGGAAACCGGCTTAAGCACACCTTGACCTTGCTGGCAGGGGAGGGATCCCCTCGGCTTGTCCGACACATCCCCCGCCAGCGCTGGCATTGAGAGCGCGCGAGCCCGCGCGAGGAGGGGCCGGCTTGAAAAGGCAGCTTAGGCATCTCCTGCTGCGAGAGATGGATTAGGGGCTTCGGGGAGGCCGGGGGACGGCACAGCCACCGCCGGGATATTGTTTGAACCCTTCCAGGGATGGGGTAGTCACAGCT